GTTTAAAACAAAACAATATTACAGAGAAAACCATAATAGCTAATACTATCTAAAGCATATTTTTTAATACAGAAAGTGAATCAGTCTTAAAAAAGGAATTTCATACAAATTTATTTTTAACTATATGCTAAAAACAGGACTTTAGGAATTCATAAGCCTTTCTCTGAAGTTAGGAATTTAGATGATAACTGACTAGATCTCAAATTAAAGGAGAAAAAGAAAAAGAAGGGATCACTTAAGTTTCTCCATTGTATATATGCTAATACAGTATGTAAACAGTATAGCATAACAATCAAAGGAAGGAAAACCCAAGGAAAGACTTAAAACAGTACATTTGAATCCTGTATCACCAGTGGTTACTAGCATCACCGGGAGGAACTTCAGTGAAAATCTAGGATGGAGAACTGTGGTTGCCAGGGAATAAGGAGGGGTTGTTGTATAAATACAAAGAGGTAGCACCAAGGAGTGAGGGAGTTCTTTTGTGGTGATGGAACAGTTCTGATCCTTACTACAGTGAAATTACACGAATCTATATATGGATAAAACTGCAGAAAACTACAAATGAAAAAATGAAGGCAGGTTAAGAAAATGCTGAAAACCAAATAAAGCACGTAGTGTCATTAACAGTAATGTACCAATGTCAATTTCATGGTTTTGATATTGTACTACAGCTGTATGAGATGTCGCAATTGGGGGAAATGGGGAAAAGGATACACTGGACTCTGTTATTTCTGCAGCTTCTTGTGAGACTATAATTATTTCGAAATAAAAAGTTTTAAGTAAAGCGACAACAATATCTTCAATCTCATAAGCAAGAAGAGAGCAGGGTTTGCTTTTTTGGAGGCAAATAAAATACTTTCCATTGCAGTTCCACCATCTATATTAACGAGGATAAACAAGAAATGGCAGTTTCAGGCACACTTTGGCGGCCAGGCTTACATTCGGTTTCAGATGATAATCTAAAGCCAATATTGACTAAGTAATGGCTGTATACTATAGAGGTAAAATTTCAGAGCACATGAAATACACTGTGTCTCTGCTTATTCTTCAGAGGGTAGTTGAGTGGGGGCACATTGACCAATGCCCAGATATTGAACCACGTGTCTCTCACCCTGGGACTGTGTGGTAGGAAAAAAGATCTCTTACCTCAGCAGATTTGGACACACCACCAATGCCTGAAGTATGTCTTCCACCCTCTTTGGGATATCCCCTTGTCCCTCCTGTAGCTGAGGTACACATGCCTGTGCCAGCTCCCATTCTCCCCTCCGCAGGCATTCACAGAAAAATCCAAAAAGCTGCTTCTGCGAAGCAGCTTCCTCTTTTCCAAATGGATGATTCATTTTCCCAGCACAGAGTGCAGGGAGATACAAAGAAATGAGTTATGCCGAACACATTCTCAATGTTCTCATTCGCGGAGTACCTCCTAAAAACAACAACACACGCCAGTGAGAAGAAACAGAAGGCTCTGTATTAAGACAAAGCAGCAACTACTGGTCCGGCTGGGAAAGGCGGGACTTACTTGCCTAAGTATCGTTTTAAGTTTAATTTCCCACGTTACTTTTTGAAAACACTTTCTCCAAGGGGCGGATGCCATCTCTTTACGCAGATTCCTATATTTAATAATATTAATAGTCATATGTGCCCTGGGCGCAGACCCACAACTCTACGCCCGTATTCCCTACTGAACTTTATGTCCAGTCACTCCAAATCCCCAGGTGGTCGCCTCCTCAAAGATGAGAAATTCAGCAGAAACCTCTCTAGTTTGAGCCCTCTGTTAAGGCAGAGGATTGACGATCAGGAGACAAATCTGTGTCATAAGTGGAAAGCAGTGCGGGGGTGGGCCGCAGGGACGCTCCCTGCGGGGGTCGTGGACAGGGGCCCCTCCTTCTCAGGGGTGTCTTACACTCACCTGCTCCCGGCGCCCAAAGCAAGAGAGCTCTCAGCGCAGCCATGTTTGAGCTGAGTCAGGTGACAGAACCCATCCGAACCGCGGTGGTGGGGGTGGTGACAAAGTCTGAAAGCCCCACTCCTATTGGCTCAAGGCAGGGAAGATGATAATTAAGTGCCATATTTGTTTGAGTCACGTGACGCCACCTCTCCGGGAGTAGGGAAAGCTAGAAAGCTCGGAAAGAGGAAATCAGCTACCTGGCTGCGGACCATCTCCCTCAATTGTGACAGCTTCGGCGCTCAATACTTTCAGTTCTGCATTCGGCCGAGCAGGTGGCAGGAAGAACTGTGACCCTGGATTTTTTTTTTCTTCCACTCTCTTATCTCCCTAACATGTGAAGTCGACATTTAGTGAACGCCAGCCAGTGATGGTGTTTTGCCAGGCGCGGGGATACCTGGAGCTAGGAGAACTGGGTTCTCCTCCATTATTATTCTAGCTACTGGGCTCTTTTGTTCCGGAACTCTGCGGTCTGAATTTCCATATTCTTCTGCTTCACTCCATTCATTTATTTGCACATTTACCCTACAACTGTTAATTGAACGGTGTGCTAAGCTTTATTTTATTTTTTTAGAGACAGGGTCTCTCTCTGTTGCTGGAGTGCGGTGGTGTGATCTCGACTCATTGCAACCTCGAACTTCCTAGATCAAGTAATCCTTCAGCCTCGGCCTTCCTGTAGTAGCTGGAACTACAGGCCTGCGCCACTACACTGGGCTTAGTCCCTATTCTCTAAGTTGAGTAAATGGAGGTCCCTCTTCTCAAGGGAGATGCAGGCCAAAAATTAGGATACAGTGGGCTAAATTATAAGACGGAAGTATGCATAAGAGATCAGAGAGCAAAGAATGAGCAAAGGCTTTTTCGCAAACATAATAATCTGAAACCAAGCCTTTTTTTTGAGATGGAGTCTCGCTCTGTTGCCCAGGCTGGAGTTCAGTGGCACGATCTCGGCTCACTGCAACCTCCGCCTCCCGGGTTTAAGCGATTCTCCTGCCCTCAGCCTCCCGAGGAAGCTGGGATTATAGGCTCCCACCACCACGCCCAGATAATTTTTGTATTTTTAATACAGATGGGGTTTCACCATGTTGGCCAGGCTGGTCTCGAGCTCCTGACCTCAGGTGATCCACCCACCTCGGCCTCCCAAAGTGCTGGGATTACAGGCGTGAGCCACCGTCCCCGACCTGAAACCAACTATTAAAGTAACGGCTTACTAGGTTTCCTCACCACAGCTGCCTTACACCAAGCCTTTTGTTTGGTTTCCTTGGTGTGCTTTAATCACAGACTCAGCTTTCCTCAGTGTGTGTGTTTCAGGTTTAGTAATTTCATTCACCATTTCCCAAACTATTTAATCATCAAAGGGTGGTGAAAAGAGCAAATTAAAACAAACAGAACGTTTTCTTCCAAAAACTCTTCTGTGACTGGTGGATTGTCCTCGATTCTTGAGAAAACTAACATGCCTCTCTGGCCCATTAAGTTTCTTCTTCTTTTTTTTTTTTTTTGAGGCAAGGTCTGGCTCCTCCCACCTCAGCCTCCCAAGTGGCTGGAATCACAGGTGCCTGCCACCACATCCAGCTAATTTTTGTATGTTTAGTAGAGACGGGGTTTCCCCATGTTGGCCAGGCTGGTTTCGAAATTCTGAGTTCAAGTGATCTGCCCGCCTCGGCATCCCAAAGTGAAACTGCCTTTGCAAAATTATCACTGAGGAAATTATGACAGTGAAATAAATCAAACCTAACCGACTCTATCTTGCTTCTAACCGTTAAGCTGTCCTTGTTCATTCCGGGGTGTAGACTGAACTAACTTTGGGAAGGAATTCAGTTCATGGTTTGATTCTGAAACAAAATTGATAACAGCCCTTTCCGAAAAGACCCACTTCTTGCCTGGGGACCAGTCTGCCTTTGCAGGACTAGTACATTAGCTACAAGTTTAGAAATTACAGTTTAGGGGCATGCAGCCTCTGGCTCCAAGAGTCTGAACCTCCCCAAATTGCTCCTGGGGGTGACGTCACTATTGTAAGCCCTGAGATCAGTGCTTGAGATATTCTGCAGACCCTGCACTCGATGGATCAACTGACACCACTCAGACCAGTAATCTGGCCCAACCAATTTTGCCATCTTACCCAGGAACAGAAGACATTAAGAAAACCTCACTTCTGACCCCTTGCGATTCCATCTCCAACCTGACCAATCAGCACTCCCCACTTCCTAAGCCCCCACCAGCCAAACTATTGGTAAAAACTCCGATCCCCAAATGCTCGGGACAACTGATTTGAGTAATAATAAAACTCCAGTCTTCCGCACAGCTGGCTCTGCGTGAATTACTCTTTTTCCATCGCAATTCCCCTGTCCTGATAAATCGGCTCTGTCTAGGCAGCCGGCAAGGTGAACCCACTGGCGGTTTCAAAAGTGCTGGGATTACAGGCATGAGCCACCGCGCCCGGCCTGTTTTTTGTATTTTTTGTAGAGGTGGAGGGGTGGTGGAGGGTGTCTCAATATGTTGCCCAAGCTGGTCTCGAACTTCTGGGCTCAAGTGATCCTCCCGCCTCGGCCTCCCAAATGGCGGATCACGAGGTCAGGAAATCGACATCATCCTGGCTAACACGGTGAAACCCCGTGTGTATTTTGTATTTTGCAAAAATACAAAAAACTAGCCAGGCGTGGTGGCGGGCGCCTGTAGTCCCAGCTACTCGGGAGGTTGAGGCAGGAGAATGGCGCGAACCCAGGAGGCGGAGCTTGCAGTGAGCGGAGATCACGCCACTGCACTCCAGCCTGGGAGACAGAGAGAGACCCCGTCTGGCAAAGAAAAAAAAAAGAAAAATTTCCAAACAGGGTGTTCCCTTGCCTCACATTCTCTTTGGTGATGGTCCGCCAACAGATTTTAATAATCACTGTTTTGAGGAACTGCTTCAGATTCGATCTGTTAGGCTGATCACAGTATTAACTACAATTCCCAGCAAGCCGCGGACCCAACCTGGGCCTCTGCCGGCCTCTGATTGGATACAATAGCCAGGATGACGACCCAATCAGTACTTCGGTTGTTGCTTTGCGGCGCTTTCCGCGGGGAAACTATAAAGGGTGGGGAAACTTGAAAGTTGGATGCTGCAGACCGGGTACTGGAAGGTTTCATGTGGGGTGCCGTTGTGGGGAAGTGAGGTTCGCTCATTATTTCCTGCTCCTTCCCTAGGCCCGTGGGTGTCGATATTGGGGGAGCGGAGATTTTCTCTTGGGTTCTGGTCACGCCCCCTTAAGACTGTCGGGATCTTCACTAAGAACCCCGCCGTGAATTCCGGGGGTGGGGGCGGCTTCGGGCCTTCTTTTGGTGGGGAATGCTTGGAAGCTGCTCATTGTTGGGAAAAGCTCTTTTTAGGGGATTCCGAGTGATGTTTCCGCCTGTTGATGCCCATCTTCCTCCCCAGCCCCTTCCCGCTTCAGGTAGCCTGTCATTAGGGGAAGTTGAGGGACTGTCCCACTTCAGGTGGTGTTGGAGACCGTGGAATCTGGAGTCCGGTCCCTGGATTCGAATGCGAGCTTCACACCAATTGTCAGCTGTTTAACTTTGCCCAAGTTTCTCAACTCGGTGCCTCGGTATCCTGTAAAGTAAGGTAAAATATCCGAAGCCTTTGGAACAGTGTGGCACATAATAAGGACTCAATAAATATTAGCTAATATTGTTCCTCAGCAGTTGTCGTTGAACATCTAACGTGAAGAATTTTCTTTTCTTGGTGATGAGGAGGACAGGGTTCATTCTCCAGGGTTGACCGTCTCCCCTCAAGTGCAACACACATACGTGCGTTCGCGCACACATACACCGCAGGAATTTACGTGCTCCGGTGGAGGAAACAAACTCGCAAACCATAATAATACTTTGATAAGATTATCGAATAGATAATGTACGAAGTTGATGAGAACATTGGAGAGGAAAAGACTTGACCCTGGGGAAGGTTTTGTGGAGGGAAGTCAGGGAGACAGGATGACAATTGCGTGACCTACCAATACACATACCATATGACTGGAGGGCAGATCATGTGAGAGTCATTATGATGATTGCTGACCTTAAGTACTATATGCCAGGCACTCCCCGAGTGCTTTAAGCTCCACTACAGTCATATGCCGTGGTAAATTCATATGACTGTAAAACAACGGTTTTAAGGAAATTAAGACACTGAGAGGTGAAGTAACTGCCAGGAAGGACAGGAACTGAACCTTGCAATGTGATGTATGAGTGAGAAGGAAGTGAGGGACCAATTTTTGATGTTTTTCTGTGTGATCCTAAGAAGTTAGGAATATATCCGGTGGTCTACCAATCCCATGGGAAGTGTTAAAGGATAGTGTCTTTTTAGGAAGCTACTCAGGGCAGGATTGTGACACTGATATGACTTTTGCAGGCGAATTTGGGGCTTCTTCCTGTCTGCTCCCATAGCACTTTTAAATAGCAATTGCGATACTTACTGCATGACTGTAGTTATTTGTGTGTACCTCTCTTTTCATCTCTTAACTATGAGTATTCAAAGGGGAGGTGATATGCTTAAATTATTCTTGTACCCCAGAGTTCAGCAGGGTGTGTATTTAAATGCCTGTGGAAGGAGCCAATTAAGGAACAAATGAATGGAGTGGCCAGAAACAATATGCAATAGTCCAGGCAAGTGATGGGAGTGGCCCTATTAAGGCAGAGATAGCAGAATTGGTTGTTGTTAAAGTCCCTGTAGTTTAGAATTTATAGCTTTTTGTTTGTTTGTTTGTCTTTTGTTTTTGATAGGGTCTCAGTCTGTTCCCCAGGCTAGAGTGCAGTGGTGTGATCAAAGCAGCCTCGACCTCCTGGGCTCAGATGGTCCTCTCATCTCAGCCTCCTGAGTAGCTAGGACTACTACAGTTGTGCGGCACAACGCCCAGCTAATTTTTGTATTTTTTGTAGAGACAGGTTCTCTCTATGTCGCCCAGGCTGGTCTCAAACTCCTGGGCTCAAGCAATTTGCCTGTCTTGTCCTCCCAAAGTGCTGAGATTATAGGCGTGAGCCGCCTTCTGTGGCCCATAGTTCTTTTCTTTCTTTCCTTTTTTTTTAAATTGAATTGATCAGTCTAAATGGTGTGATTACCTGAAACTACCTGATCTGAAAAGACACTAGGCAATGTTATAGCAGGTATCACTTGGTTTTCTATTGGGGGAAACAAGTCAATGCTAACAAATTCCCATAGAGAGAAATGAGGAGGATGTATTTTGTGTTTGTGAGAAGTATGTGTGTATGTATTTTGTGTGTGTGTGTGTGTGTGTGTGTGTGTGAGGGAGAAAGAGAGAGATAGAGATTGATTCAATCTGATTTAGATAATTTAGGTGTTAAATAGAAATTTGGGCCATGGTATTGGAAATAAACAAACATATACATTCTCAGTACATGTACATTCTCAGTATACATATATTTTCATTCCAAAATGTTACTTCTTTTCTGATAACTATATTGCTTTATTCCTTGGATTTATTCCTTTCCTCTGGAAAGAACTGAAAAATGTGTATCTACCATCTCAATGAGATATACAGCTTCTCCTTTGTATGAATTAAGAGACTCACAGTAATTCTTTTTTAATTCTCTGAAGATAAATCTTTCATGAGCCTCATTTACCCCTAGCAAGGTACAATAGTGAAATTTAACTGCATGTGAGAATATAAGCAGCTAGTGTTAATATAGAACATTTTGGGCCAGACCCGTTCGCTTATGCCTGTAATCTCAGCACTTTAGGAGGTCAGCATGGGAGGATCACTTGAGCCCAGGAGTTCGAGACCAGCTTGGACAACATGGCAAAACCCTGTCTCTACAAAAATTGGGCGGGCATGGTGGCGACCTTGTCTCTACAAAAAATACAAAAATTAGCCATATCCAAATAAAATTTATACATGCATTGAACATTTTAAGATGCTCTACAAATGTGAAGTGGTACTATATTCATGTAGTAAATATCGAATAATTGTGTGAAATTATATTTGAGGTTGCCTTGTTTTTCTGTGTGCCTGTTCGATAAAAAATTGTCTCTCATATTTAAAACATTTAAAAAGATTCTATAGCATTCCTTTATCAGTAATATTTTTAACATAGTATGTTTCATTTTGCATATGGAGAAACTTGAGGAATTTTTAATTTTGTTTTGGATAGCCTATTCACTATTACTTATGTTATATTCTATTTTTTTTTTCATGGTTCTTCTTTTCTTCGCTGGATCTGGAGGCATGGGTAGCAAGAAACTAAAACGAGTGGGTTTATCACAAGAGCTGTGTGACCGTCTGAGTAGACATCAGATCCTTACCTGTCAGGTAAATTTTATTTAAAATTTTTATTGAGAAGTTTTATGCACAAGTTAACTTTATACCTTAATACTTCTTAAACTTGAAATATGAAAATGTAGGCTTACAAAATAAAAAAGATAAATGATGGTGCTTTTCCATAGGCTAATTGTAAATACCAAGCTTCCTTGGGTGCATTTCCAATTGCGATTTCATTTACCCAAATTTAGTATTTTTGCATTTTGAGGGGAGAGTGGTCATGGCATAAGGTGAAGTACCAGCTTTGCTATTTATTTGTAGTTACATGAGAAATAGGACTGTAATGAGGAGATACTATTCAAAATATATAATTTCTCTTAAAAGCAAAAGAAATTAATAGACCATTTTCTTATTGATGGAGTATGCGAAATATATAGAGCAGATCTTGCATTTTTAAGCAAGGTAGTGAAGCAAATCCTCCTTAGCAGGGTAAATAAGATTTAAAGGTTTTGGTTGGTTGTTTTTGTTCTTTGTTGTTTTTGAGACTAGGTTCTCATGTTGCCCTAGCTGGTCTTGAACTCCTGGACTTAAGCAATCCTCCAGCCTCAACTCCCAGGTAGCTGGGATTACAGGCACACACCACTGTGCCTGGCTAGATTTAAAGTTTTATCTTACTATAATGAATGTATAAATCTTTGATCTGCAAGAAATTATACTTTTGTCTACATAAGCAGTATCAATTGAAGGTTTCCTTTTAACTCTAATATCTTTGTTACACATATATGTTTAAAATACTCTCTTTATGTTTCTTTAGGACTTTTTATGTCTTTCCCCACTGGAGCTTATGAAGATGACTGGTCTGAGTTATCGAGGTGTCCATGAACTTCTATGTATGGTCAGCAGGGCCTGTGCCCCAAAGATGCAAACGGTATATTTATATTTTATTATGATTTGATTATGAATGATTCCTCATCTCATTAAACATGCTTTTTTAGGGATGAGGCACATGCAGAAATAGAGATGAGTACCTCAAAAATATTGAGTTTTCTACCATAGAAGTTAGTTCTCTAAGGAAAACACATGTGAAGCAAATATTTTTTTCTTTTTTGAGACACTCTGTTGCCCAGGCTGGAGTGCAGTTGCACAATCTCGGCTCTCTCCAGCCTCTGCTTTCTGGGTTCAAGTGATTCTCCTGCCTCAGCCTTCTGAGTAGCTGGGATTACAGGCACGGTACTACCATGCCAGCTAATTTTTGTATTTTTAGTAGAGATGGGTTTTCACCTTGTTGGCCAGGCTGGTCTCAAACTTCTGACCTCAAGTGATCTGCTCACCTCGGCCTCCCAAAGTGCTGGGATTACAGGCGTGAGCCACTGTGCCTGGCCTATATGTGAAAAATTTATGTAGTTTATAAACTCATGGGAGACAATTTCCAAATAAGGGAATTAGGGAGCAACAGAAAGTTTTTACTTTTTTTCTGTAGCCAATAGCGGTAGTTCCAAAGGTCATCTTTCTCTGATTGATTAGGTAGTATTTGAGGGCCTCGTAGTTAAATTATAATCTTAATTTTAGAATGCCCCTTTCTTTGATATACTGACCTTTACCATCATCACTTGCTCTAGATCATAAAGTACACATAATTGTACTTATACTTGCTTATTGATTGAATAAGAGGTAATTAAAAGTTTATCCTTTACTCTTAAGAAAATTTGAAGTCTTTTACAAAAGCCCTCATCAAATTGTACATTTTTTCAGACTTTTTGTGTCATGACTGTAGCTTAGCTTTTCAAATTGTAGATTTGAAACATGATAGAAATATCTTGTTTTCCCACAGTAAAAGTTTCCTAAAATTCTGTTCAGTGTTTTGCAAATGTATTTATTTATGTGGACTGTGAGTTACTTACCTCACTACCTTATATTGAAATTTACTGAACACTGAACAATGAAGTACAATTCTCTGAAGAAGGGGAGAAGGAAGGAATGTTAGTGTCATTTGAAACTTCTAAAAACAATGAACAGATATTTGAACAACAGATATTTCCTTCCTTCCTTCCTTCCTTCCTTTCTCCTTCCTTCCTTCCTTCCTTCCTTCCTTCCTTCCTTCCTTACACTTTCTTTCTTTCTTTCTTTCTTTCTTTCGTTTTTTCTTTTTCTTTTTTTTTTTGAGATGAGGTCTGGCTCTATTGCTCTGGCTGGAGTCTAGTGGTGTGATCTTGGCTCACTGCAACCTCCACCTCCTGGGCTCAAGCCATCCTCCCACCTCAGCCTCCTGAGTGGCTGGGACTACAGGTGCACACCATCATGCCGGACTAAGTTTTGTGTTTTTTGTAGAGATGTGGTTTTGCCACATAGCCTAGACTGTTCTTGAACTTATGAGGTCAAGTGATCCTCCCGCCTTAGCCTTCCCAAGTGCTGGGATTACAGGCATCAGCCACCATGCTCGGCTGAATAACAAATATTTTCCTTTGTTCAGATTTAGCTTGTGATCTGAGGAAAATATTTTAAAGGCAGGGTAGTCAGAAGGAGAATCAGAATTCGAGTTAGAAATTGGCATTAGTCTTAGCTTTATCATTGATTTCATTGCTTTGAACAGCTTTCTTTGTTTTATGGGAGAAAACAGAAGTTAAAATACTGTGCAATGATTCTGTGACTAGATTCAAATTAACTTGTTACTATTTTGAAGGTTGTAAAAAACCAGAAAATCTTTAATTTGTCATCTGTCATTCTAATTGATCAATATCCATGGCATATTTCCAGTTAATAATTAAATAAGAGAGCATGGTCCCAAAATTCAACTTTAATTTCTACTTCCATCACTATCTTCAGCAGCCATCTTAATACAATTCTCAAGGCTACAGCTTCAAGAAGCCATCTCTTCTTTTTTGTTTTTTTTTTTTTTTTTTTTGGAGGGACGGGGAGTCTCGCTCTGGGTCACCCAGGCTGGAGTGCAGTGGCCGCGATCTCAGCTCACTCAAGCCTTCCGGGGCCTCCGGGGGGTTCACGCCATTCTCCTGCCTCAGGCTTCCCCAGTAGGCTGCGGACTACAGCGCCCACCACCTCGCCCCGGGCGGTAGCTTTTCTGTATTTTTTAGTAGAGACGGGGTTTCACCGTGTTAGCCAGGATGGTCTCGATCTCCTGACCTCGTGATCCGCCCGTCTTGGCCTCCCAAAGTGCTGGGATTACAAGGAAGCCATCTTTCTCCTGTGGTTTACGTTCATTCTTGTAGCATTCCTTATATTTCAGCACTGCCTTAAACATTGGCTTAGTTTTTTTTTTTTTTTCCCCAACTTTTATTGTAAGTTCCGGGGTACATGTGCAGGATGCGCAGGTTTGTTACATAGGTAAACGTGTGCCATGGTGGTTTGCTGTACAAATCATCCTGTCACCTAGGTATTAAGTTCAGCATCCATTAGCTATTTTTCCTGAAGCTCTCCCTCTCCCCGACAACCTCCAACAGGCCCCAGTGTGTGTTGTTCCCTTCCATGTGTCCATGTGTTCTTATTGTTCAACTCCTGCTTATAAGTGAGAACACACAGTGTTTGGTTTTCTTTTCCTGCATTAGTTTGCTGAGGATGATGACTTCCAGCTCCATCCATGTCCCTGCAAAGGACATAATCTCATTCCTTTTTATGGCTGCATAGTATTCCTTTGTGTATGTGTATCACATTTTCTTTATTCAGTCTATCATTGATGGGCATTTGGGTTGATTTCATGTCTTTGCTATTGTGAATAGTGCTGCAATGAACATATGTGTGCATGTATATTTATAATAGAATAATTTATATTCCTTTGTGTATATACCCAGTAATGGCGTTGCTGGGTCAAATGGTATTTCTGCCTCTAGGTCTTTGAGGAATTGCCACACTGTCTTCCACGATGGTTGAATTAATTTACACTCCCACCAACAGTGTAAAAGCATTCCTATTTCTCTGCAAGCTTGCCAGCATTTGTTGTTTCTCGACTTTTTAGTAATTGCCATTCTGATTGGTGTGAGATGGTATCTCATTGTGGTTTTGTTGTACATTTCTCTAATGATCAGTGATGTTGAGCTTTTTTTTTATATGTTTGTTGGCCGCATGAATGTCTTCTTTTGAGAAGTATCTGTTCATGTCCTTAGTGCACTTTTTAATGGGTTTTTTGTTTTTTCTTGTAAATTTGTTTCAGTTCCTCATAGAGTCCGAATATTAGATCTTTGTAGAATGGATAGATTGAAAAAATTTTCTCCCATTTTCTACCATGGTAGTTTCTTTTGTGATGCAGAAGTTCTTTAGTTTAATTAGATCCCATTTGTCAATTTTGCTTTTGTTCCAATTGCTTTTGGCATTTTCATCATGAAATCTTTACTTGTGTCTATGTTCTGAATGGTATTGCCTAGATTTTCTTCTAGGTTTTGGGTTTTTTCTGTAGTTTTGGGTTTTACATTTAAGTCTATAATCCATCTTGAGTCAATTTTTGTGTAAAGTGTAAGGAAGGGGTCCAGTTTCAGTTTCATGCATATGGCTAACCGGTTCTCCCAGCATCATTTGTTAAATAGGGAATCCTTTCCCCATTGCTTGTTTTTGTCAGGTTTGTTGAAGACCAGATGGTTGTAGGTGTGTGGTCTTATTTCTGAGTTCTTTGTTCTGTTGCATTGGTCTATGTGTCTGTTTTTGTATCAGCACCAAGCTGTTTTGATTACTAGAGCCTTGTAGTATAGTTTGAAGTTGGGGAGCGTGATGCCTGCAGCATCATTCTTTTTGCTTCGGATTGTTTTGGCTATACAGGCTCCTTTTTGGTTTCGTGTGAATTTTAAAATAGTTTTTAAAAATTCTGCAAAGAATGTCAATGGTAGTTTAATGGGAATAGCATTGAATCTATAAATTACTTTGGGCAATATGGCCATTTTCATGATATTGATTCTTCCTATCCATGAGATCCATGAACATGGAATGTTTTTCTGTTAGTTTGTGTCCTCTGATTTCTTGGAGCAGTGGTTTGTAGTTCTCCTTGAAGAGGTCCTTCATGTCCCTTGTTAGCTGTATTGCTAGGTATTTTATTTTCTTTGTAGCAATTGTGAATGGGAGTTCATTCATAATTTGGCTCTCTGCTTGCCTGTTATTCGTCCATTGGCTTAGTTTTAGTTCATTTCTTCAGGAAATTTTTTTGCTCATTTATTCAATCATTTATTCTTTTGACTTGTATTTACTGAATGTCAAGTATGTATTAGGTACTTTGTCAGGCACTGGGGATGTCATGGTGAACAAGTTTATACAGTTCCAGCCATCTTGTAGTTTACAGTCTAGTGGGGGAAGCCAGACATTAAAATATTAATTCAGAAATAATTAGTTAATTATAATAGTGCTAAATCCTATGAAGGAAAGACATAAGGGGCTTTGAAACTTTATAATAAGGGACACTACTTAGTTTGGGGGTCAGGAGGGCCCTTCCAAGGAAGCAGTACTTTAGCTAAAACATGGAAGATGAATAGGTGAGAGATAGGCAAAGGAGTTGGGAAGGGAGATGGGCAGGGAAGAGTTATTGGACACTGGGTATAACAGATGCAAAGGCCCTGGGAAGAGAAGGAGAATGGGGCTTGCACGAGTGGGACATAACAGCAAAGAAGAGAGTGGTAGGAGATGAAGCCAGAGAAGTAAGCAGGAGTCAGATTATTAGGGCTTTGCATGCCAAGTTAAGGATTTTGGACTTTATTCTGAGAGCAATGGAAACTCATAAGAAGGGTATACTGTAATATGTGTTTTAAAAAGATCAGTCTTGGATGTGGACAAGTGATTGAAAAGGAGGAAGAAAATATTCATGAAGATTAGTTAGGTACCTATTACTGTGTTCTAGACCAAAAGTGATGGTGACTTGTATTATTAATGCAGACGTTATAGTGTTGATTAATATGAGAGATATTTAGGAGGGATAATTTTTTTTTTTTTTTTTTGAGACACAGTCTCACTCTGTTGTCCAGGCTGAAGTGCAGTGGTGCAATCTCGACTCACTCCAACCTCTGCCTTCTGGTTCCGGCAATTCTTGTGCCTAAGCCTCCTCAGTAGCTGGGACTACAGACATGCACCATCACACATGGCTAATTTTTGTATTTTTAGTAGAGATGGGGTTTTGCTGTTGGCCAGGCGGGTCTCGAACTGCTGGCCTCAAGCAATCCACCTGCCTCAGCCTCCCAATATGCTGGGATTACAGACGTGAGCCACTGTGCTCAGCCTAGGAGAGAATATTAATGGGATTTGGTAATTGTTTGGCTGAGGTGGTAGTGACGTACAGAAAAGTGTCAGAGATGATTCCCTGACTTTTGCTTTGAGAAACTGAGTGGTACCATTTCCTAAGATCAGGAGTACTGGAAGAGGAGCAGGTTTGAGGGAGGCAGATCATACATTCAATTTAGTACTTGTGTAAGTTTTTTTTTTTTTTTTTTTTTTTGAGATGAAGTTTTGCTCTTGTCGCCCAGGCTGGAGTGCAATGGCAAGATCTCGGCTCAGGCTCCCAGGTTCAAGTGATTCTCCTGCCTTAGCCTCCTCAGTAGCTGGGATTACAGGCACCCAACACCATGCCCGGTTAATTTTTTATATTTGGCCAGGCTGGTCTCGAACTCGTGACCTCAGGTGATCCACCTGCCTCAGCCTCCCAAAGTGCCGTGATTACAGGCATGAACCACCACACCGTCCGGTACTTGTCTGATTTAAGATGCTTATAAAACGTTTTGTGAAGATGGGAAGTAGGCAGTTAAATATATGGACCTGGACCTTGAAGGCGAGGCATGCACGTGGGAGTCATTGGTGTAAATATGATAATTGAAGCTATCGGAATGGATGAGTGATTGCCTATAAAGTGCATGCAGTAAGACGATAAGTGTACTTAAGCCTGAAACCTGAGTGATGCCAACAGTTACAGGTCAGATTAGATGATAATGAGTCTGAGAAGAAGCAGCCACCAAAGTAGAAGAAAAACTGGTAGTGTCATATCACAAAACTCGTCTTTGTCTCATTTATATACATACTACTTCTCTGAAGTTTTGTTCTGTTAGTTCATTTTATTCTTTTTTTGAGACGAAGTTTTGCTCTTGTTGCCCAGGCTGGAGTGCAATGGCACAATCTTGGCTCACCGCAACCTCCGCCTCCCGGGTTCAAGCGATTCTCCTGCCTCAGCCTCCTAAGTAGCTGGGATTACAGGCATGTGCTACCACGCCCGGCTAATTTTTTCTTTTGTATTTTTAGTAGAGATGGGGTTTCTCCATGTTGGTCAGGCTGGTCTCAAACTCCGGACCTCAGGCGATCCACCCACCTCGGCCTCCCAAAGTGCTGGGATTACAGGTGTGAGCCACCGCACCCAGCCAATTATTATTTTTTTGACTTACCAAATCTATTATTCTAGAAATTACACTTAAAATTGCAAATGAAGTACTTTAATTTGGACAGATTGGGCTGCCTTTGCATGTTGGAGAAAGTATCCTCACATGCATCCACATTGCCTGATGATAGATTATAGACAAAAAAAATGTGTACGTAAGGATGCCTACTGAAATATTTTTTATATCAAAACATTGGAAACAATAATAACAGTAAGGAAGGAGATAAATTATATTACATTTATGTTAGGGAATATTATGTAGGCACTAAAATCTTTGAAAAATTTTTATTTATTTATTTTTATAGAGATGAGGTCTTGCTATGATGCCCAGGCTGATCTTGAAATCCTGGCTTCAAGTGATCCTCCTGCCTTAGCCTCCCAAAGTGCTGGGATTACAGGCATGAGGGACCATGACCAGCCAAGAATTTGTAATAACAGGAGAAATGCCCAGGATATAAATGCTTAGTGAAAAAAGCAGGCTACGAAATTGTATATAGTATACATGCCAATTTTATAAAAATGAATGTTATAAAGGTATTTGGCATATATTGTTAATAATGGTTATCTTAGGATTGTGGAATTTTTTACTGACTTCTGTTTTCTTTAACTTTTTTCTTCTTTCCAAATTTGCTTTAGGTAAGTTATGTTCTTTAATTAGGAAAAAAGCAGCAATGGTTCTTGTTTGTCCCCTTGTGGTAATATCTGGCGAATCTCTTAGTCTCAGTTTTTTTACCCTTTGTGAAACGGAGATAATTATACCTGTGTGTAAATGAAATAATGTACGTAAAGTACTTAATACAGCACATAGTAGATGTGCAACAAATGCTCTTTACCTGCCTATCCTTGCCTTTTCCTTACTGTTCATGATTCTTGAATCACAGCAGTATCTAAGAGGAGCTGATGTTATTTGCTCCATATCCTAGCATAGCGACTGGACAGTGCCCTGGAGCAGGCAAAGCTAAACTGAAATGTACAGCAGACCATTAACAAACGGAGGTTGTCAAAGCCTTTAAAATAATAAAAGGAACATTAGAAAATGAACATCTTTTAAAAATCAGGTACAATTTTAATATCCCGGAATATTAATAAAAGTAATTTAAAAAACAATTTTCCTTATAGAATATTAACTTTTGTAGCTCTAAATACATCAGAATGATCAAAACCAACACATAAAATCACCAGAATTCTTTGTATAATTTCTTGTGGACAAACACCAAGGATAATAAAGGAGAATTTTGGGCCAGGTGCAGTGGCTCACACCTGTAATTCCAGCACTTTGGGAAGCCGAAGTGGGCAGGCCACTTGAGGGTGGGAGTTTGAGGCCAGTCTGGTCAACATGGCAAAACCCAGTCTCTCCTAAAAATAAAAAAATTAGCTGGGTGTGGTGGCAGGCGCCTGTAATCCCAGCTACTTGGGAGGCTGAGGCACGAGAATTGCTTGAACCCAGGAAGTGGGGTTGTAGTGAGCTGAGATCGCATCACTGTACTCCAGCCCGGGTGACAGAGTGAGACTCTGTCTTGAACAAAAAAAAGGAGAATTTCAGAATTTTATAATATTGGAAAAACTTCAGATAAGTAGTGTTTCTCCCCTTGTTCGCAGGGAATATGTTTCAAGACCCTCAGTGGATGTTTGAAAATTTGGATAGTACCAAACTATATGTATACTACGTTTTTTGGATCTGATAACTGAGATGGCTACTGACTAACAGGCAGGGAGTGTCTATAGTGCGTATACACTTGGCAAAGGGATGATTCACATCCAAGCGGGATCATGTGAGATTTCACCATGCTACTCAGAGCTGTGTGCAATTTAAAACTTATGAATTATTTCTGGAATTATCCATTTAATATTTTCAGATCAGTGTTGGCCATGGGTAACTGAAACATGGGAAGTGAAACCGTGGATAAGGGGTACTGTCGTACTGTGTACCTGGCTTTCGATAAAGTTGCTAGTACCAAAAGTTTTTATCTCCACTACTATTACCTTCTTCTAGCTACCATTATTTTTCTTTGGAATGATTGTAATGTCTTCCTGACAGATCTCCCAGTTTCAAGCTGTTCTTCACAAACTAATCTGAGTATGTCTTTGAAATTATAATTTGTTGTATTAGTTTCCTGTGGCAGTTCTAATACAAATCATACCCTGGGTGGCTTCAGACAACAGAAATTTATCCTCTTACAGTTTTGGAGTTCAGAGGTTCAAAATTAAGGTGTAGGCAGAGCTGCGTTGTCTCTAGAGGTTCTAGGGGATTATCAGTTCCTTGCCTCTTTCAGCTTTTGGTGGCCATTAGCATTCCTTGGCTTGTGGCTGCTTCTCTCTCTATTCCATCTTCACATAACCTTTTCCTGTGTGTATTGAATTCCCTCTGCCTCTCTCTTATGAGTGAGGGTATTTAGGGTCCATCTGGATAATCCATGATTATCCCTTCATCTCAAGGTCTTTAACAATCAAATCTGCAAACACCCATTTTGCAAATAAGGTAATATTCACAGACAGGTTCTGGAGATTTGATTTGGATATCCAGGGGTGGGGGTGGGGGGTCATTTCTCAGCCTTCCACACCTTCCTTCACACTGTTCTTCACAAATGAACCCGAGTTTGAAATGATGACTTGATCACGTCACTCTTTTTTGCATCTTCAACAGAGCTGTTCATGGTTAGGCCCCTGCTTACTTCTCTAGCCTCATTGCTTGCTGTACTGCACCCACACTCCATCTTTTAGCCATTCTAAATGAACTGTATATTTTACAGTTTGTGTTAGTCCCTGTTTCCTCTCTTGCTTCTTGACCTTTCTTTGTACATTCTGCCCTCTTTGGCAGGAATAGTCACATTTCCCTTGCTTACCTAATAGCTCTTTCAGATTTTAGCACAAGCATCCAGCAATTCCATTGTTTCCAAAATCTGTATCAGTTATACTTTCCCTACTACATTATCTCTTATTAATTGTGTTGTAATTGCCTGGTTTCTAGTCCTAATTTCATAGTCTCTGGTTGACTTCAAAGACTGTGAGGGCAGCGTCTCTCTCTGTTTTGTCATATCCCCATAATCTAGCACAGACCCTGGCACAGAGTAAATATTTGTTGAACAAATAAATAATAGAAGGGAAAAGGGTGGATTAGGGTTAAAGTTGCTAAAATTTAGAAAATTAGAGTTGGTTTATGTTTTTGAATATATATAAAGGTTGAAAAAAAACTTAATCATTTTCTTGTTCAGGCTTATGAGATAAAAGCACAAAGGTCTGCTGATTTCTCACCAGCATTCTTATCTACTACCCTTTCTGCTTTGGACGAAGCCCTGCATGGTGGTGTGGCTTGTGGATCCCTCACAGAGGTAAAGGAAAAATTTTTCATACCTTCCTCCATTGACCTATAATCTTCAGAGCCAGGGAAAAAGTTTAGTTAAAAAACATAAATTATTTCTTGAACAGTAATCTGATTTAAATTATAAGTACTTCAAGGATATGGTTCTCCACACAGTGCTTAGTATGGTTGCTCTGCAAACAGAGGGGTTAAAAACAAAATCCTTGCTGACTGATTAAAATCTACTTAGGTTGCTGTTTCATTGAATTAACTTAGAAAGTGATAAATATTGCTGGGTGTGTTTATATATGTGTTTTATATATATGATACACATATGTTATATATACCTGCATACATATATTTATGTTATATGTACACACATGTACACATATGTCACATACATGTAATATATACATGCATGTCATATGTAATATGTATGCACATAAATAACATTATATATTATATCTATATTATTATATCATGCCTGTAATCCCAGCACTTTGAGCAACAACGCAAGACCCCATCTTTACCAAAAAAAAAAAAAAAAAACCATTTAGCCGTATGTGGTGGTGCATGCATATGGTCCGAGCTACTCAGGAGGCTGACCTTGAGCCAGGGAGTTCAAGGCTGGAGTGAGCCATGGTCACACCACTGCACTCCAGCCTGGGTAACAGAGCAAGACCCTATCTCAGAAAAAAGAAGGTAGTAAATATTATGAAATAATATTGTGAAACAATTGGGGGAATTAAAAAAGGATCACTCCTTATAAATTAGGAAGGACAATTTGAAATTTTGTTAACACATGGGAAAATTATAGTATTAAACTAGAGTGAGCTATTTTTACTTTCTGTTATAGATAAAATGTCTTCTAGGAAGTGATAGGTTATTGGATTAGTTAATACTGCTGCATAACAAATTATTCCAAAAACTAAGTGGCTTAAAACAATAAACATTGGTTATTTCTTAGTTTCTTTGTGAGTGGCTTAGCTTAGCAATGTTGATGAGGGATGCAGTCATCTGAAGCTTGGTCGGGGCTGTAGGATCTGTTTCTGAGGGGTCCCATTTACATGACTGGAAAACAGGTGCTGGTGGTTGGCAGAAGGCCACAGTACCTCCCCAGGTAGACTCTCCACAGGCTTCTTGAGTCTTATGACATGATGGTTGACTTCCCCCAGGTGAGTGGTTTCGAAGAAGGCAAGATGGAAGTGGTGATATCTTTGGCAACCTAGCTTTAGAAGTTACATGCCCCTACCTCTGCCACTTTTCGTCATTAGAAGTGAGTCATTAAGTCAAACCTACATTTAGGGAAAGGGAAATTAGCGTCTTTTTTTTTTTTTTTTTTTTTTTTTGAGACAGAGTCTTGCTCTGTTGCCTAGGCTGGAGTGCAGTGGCACAATCTTGGCTCGTTGCAACCTCTGCCTCCCAGGTTCAAGTGAGTAGCTGGGATTGCAGGCACGCATCACCACACCTGGGTAATATTTGTATTTCTACTAGAGATGGGGTTTCACCATGTTGTCCAAGCTGGTCTCGAACTCGTGACCTCAGGTGATCCACCCACCTGGGCCTCCCAAAGTGCTGGGATTACAGGCGTGAGCCACTACACCTGGCCAACCTTTTAAATGAAGAAGTGTCAGGAATTTGAGGACATTTTAAAACCACTGGTTATTTTCCTTGAAAACTGCTTACAATGTGGTGATTTGATAGACTATGTTTATCAATACACTCCTAAGGACTTCTTGCTTGAAAGTTCTAGGGGCATAAATACTTTCAGGAAACTTCTAAACAAGAACAGATTCTTTTGTTACATTATGACAGTCATAATTTAACTGTCGATTTTTTTTCCTTGGAGATAGGGACCCTGTTTTAGATACTATACTTTATTTTATTTCCTGTCTTCCAAGAGAGATTTAAAGATTTATATGAACTACGCCTAGCAGATGCCTATTAAATAGTTGGTAATAAATGAGTGAATTAGTTATTAATAAAAATGCACACACACACACACATCCCTTCTGCTTTTGGAATATACTGCCACCAGGTGGTGCCAGAATCGTACGATTTTACATGAACTTTTTGGGCTGAAGTTCTACTTGCTTAAATAAGGTTTATTACACTAGTGATCCACAGTCATAAACTTACTTATTTAAATAGCAAAAACATTGAACTTAAAGAAGATTAGCTGGGAAATTCCTTTTACTTTTTAAGTTTTGGAATAATTTTTAATACTTTTTCACTTAGCTTTTATTAATGATTTTAAAAAATCCAAACAGAAATTACAAGCCTTTTAGGTGTTTTGTTGTTATCTAATTGGCTGACTTGGAATAGGAATATAAGTATTTTGACTCCTTAGTAGGGGCAAATTCTCTCCTTTCTGTTCTAGCTACAGGTATCCTCTTCAGTCTTTTTTGTTTTTTGTTTTTCAACTGAGTACAGAGAGTATATCAATTTATCTTCAAACAAAGAATCTTTTTTTGCTTTTATTACAATTTTTAATTGATACAATAGTTGTATATATTTATGGGGTACAATGTGATATTTTGATATGTGTGTACAATGTATAATGGTCAAGTCAGGGTAATTGGCATATCCATTGCTTCAAACATTTATCTTTTTTCTGTGTGTTGGGAACATCCAAAAGCCCGTCTTCTAGCTATTTGAAAACATACAATAAATTGTAAATTATAGTTCTCCTAAAGCTCTATAGAAAGCTAACACTTATTCCTCCTATCTTGCTATAATTTTGTAACTGCTAACCAATCTTTGGCTGTCTCCCTCTAACCATCTCAGCCTCTAGTAACCACTATTCTACTCTCTACTTCTATAAGATCAATTTTTTTAGCTTCTCCATATGAATGAGAACATACAATGTTTGTCTTTTTGTGTCTGACATTTTATTTAACCTAATGACCTTCAGTTCCATCCATGTTGTTGCAGATGACAGAATCTTACTCTTTTTTATGGCTGAATAGTACTCCATTGCATGTATGTACCACATATTCTTTATCCATTTGTCTGTTGATGGACACTTAGGTTGATTCCATCTCTTGGGTACTGTGAATAGTGCTGCAATAAAAATGGGAGTGTAACTTGACATACTGATTTCATACTGTGTATCATACATGCACATAGACATACACACATGTGGAGGTAAGACAGCAAGCAAAATGATAAAGCAAATTGGGCAAAATGTTAACAGTGGGTGGATGTGGGAAAAGAATACATAGTTCTGTATTCTGTTTTTATTTATTTTTAATTTATCTTTATTTTAAATAAAAAAAAAATACATAGTCTAGCTGTGTCACCTAGGCTGGAGTGTAGTGGCACAGCCCATAGCTGACTGCAGCTTCAAACTCCTTGAGTGAAGTGAACCTCCCAAGTAGCTAGGACTACAGGTGTGCACCACCATGCCTGGCTAATTTTTAAAATCTTTTGTAGCGATGAGAACTTGCTATGTTGCCCAGACTGGTCTTGAACTTCTGACCTCAAGTGATCCCTTCTGCCTTGGCCTCCCAAAGTGTTGGGATTACAGGTGTGAGCTACTGTGCCTGGCCTTCTGTTTTTATTAACACCATTTTCCTGTAAGTTTAAAATTATTTCTAGATAAAATAATAATAATAAAAAAAAACCTGTGATGTTTGCTGTAAGTAGATATTCTTGATCAGAGATAAGGAACTTTCCTTCATTTCCTAGCTAAAGTACTAATTTGGTGTTATATTTTATCAAAAGCTTTTTTTTCTGCATTGATTGAAATGATTATGTTATTTTTCTTTGGTTTATTTTTCTTTGGTGAGAAACATTTAATAGATTTTTCTGACGTTAAACTACTATTGCATTTTTGGGACAAGTTCAACTTGGTCATGATATATTATCTTTTTTTATAAACTGTTGAATTCAGTTTGCTAATATTTAAGATTTTTCAATATTTAGGATAGATATTGAGCTGTAATTTTCCTTTTAGTAGTGTCTTTGTCTGAATTAGTATTTATCTTATACTAGTTTGGTAGAATGGATTATGGAATATCTCTTTTTTTAATATTCTGCAATATTTTGCATATCATGGGAATTATTTGTTCCTTGAAGATTTGGTAGAACTTGTCTGAAAAATTATCTGATCTTGATCTTTTTCCTTCTTAGAAGATTTTTTAAAAAATTCAATTCCTTTAATGATTATAGGACTACTCATGTTTTCTATTTCTTCTTGATTAGTTTCAGTGAATGAGATTTTTAGGAATTTGTCCATTTTCTTTATATTTTCACATTTATTATAATAAAGTTATTCATTATAATCTTACAGCTCTTAAATCTGGTTTTACATGTGGTTTTTGTCCCCCTTTCCATTTTTGATATTACTTTGTTTTATTTCTCCCTCTCTTTTAAAAAAAATCTTGTCAGAGGTTTGAGTATTTTTGTCATCATTTTAAAGAACTCAGCATTTTGTTGTTGTTCTTTGTTGGTCCTCTCTATTATTTGTTCGTCTTCTACCTCCTTTATTTCTGCCATTTTCTTATTATCTCCTTTTATTTAATTTTTTTGGTGGGTTTTTTTTAATCTAACTTCTTAAATAACACATTTAATCTATTAATTTTCAGTTTTTCTTTTTACTCTAACCTTTTAAGACTGTGAATTTTTCTTGAAGCATTCTATTTTGATGTATAGTATTTCCATTTTTATTCTGTTCTAAAAGTATTGAAACATTCCCATCACAATTGCTTCTTTGACACATGAATCATTTGGAATTTTAAAATATCTAAATTATTTAATTTTAAAAATTTCTTTTAATTACATTATTAATGTAATTGCATTTTTGTCAGATAACTTTGCATGATATTGATTCTTTGAAGTTCCCTGAGACATCTTTTAAGGTTAAGTTTGTGATCAACTTTGATAAATGTTGCATGTGTGCTTGAAAAGAATGATTATTCTCTAATAATTGGGTGCCCTATTTTATTTTAGGTTCAGGTGGTATATGTACAGGTTTGTTACATTGGTATATTGCGTGATGCTGAGGTTTGGGGTACGATTTATACCATC